CCCCCCCCCCGATCACTGAGAACTGTCTGCCATCTGATTAAGTGAATCTTTTTATTTTCATTATTTCCATCCCATAGAAACTTATTCCATATGGAGTTCAACTTCTTTTCAATTGCAGTAGGCATAGGAAAAAAAGACATTAAGTAGGAAGGCTTCCCATCCAAAATATATTTATCAGAGTTAGTCTGCCTCCAAATGATAGATACTGCTTCTTCCATGGAGTCATTTTATTAGCACGCGTATCCAAAATCCCTTGCCAAATACTTTGGTCATTTGTTCTCACACCGAGTGGGAATCTTAGATAAACTGTAAGGAGTTTATCCATCCGGCACCCTAGAATATTTTCTAGTTCTTCTATATTGTCATCAACATTAAAGCTATAAATATTGCTCTTCCCCAGATTGATTTTCAACCCAGAAACTGCTTCAAAAGTCAGTAACATTCCTCTGAGATATAAACATTGTTCCTTCCTCCATCCATAAAAAGGAAGGGGTTCACTAAACCAATATTTACTGGATTGTGCTTTCTTCCCTGTGGTGACGAAGAAAAATGTTTTGAGTCTCTTTTCTCGTAGAGCTGCACTAGCATTTTCATGCTTGCCACTTCGGTAGAATGAGAAATATTAAACGAAATAATAGGCAGAGGTGGATCTAGTGGAGGAGCTATGTTTTCATCTGAGCCCAATAGCTTTGGCCTAGATACCATATATATGTTAAAAGACCTACTAAATAAGTACAAATAATAGACTTTGCACCCAATAAATTAGATTGGATGTAGTAGAATTTCGAATATGAACTGAAAGTCAAATCCTGGATCCGCTTCTGATATTAGGAAATCAAATTTGGGGAAGAATTGTTAGGGCGGCTCTTTGATGTTAATATTCAATTTTCTGCAAAGTTCTCTAAGGTTATTCTATTTGTTTTATATCCTTGTGCAAATAATTTTTTCCGACAATTGTGGTGTTCGGGCAACTTGCATGCACCTCGACTAATTCCACGGGATTTCTGCTACCTCCCACCAACAACAGGTACCAAGTAACTCTATCCACCAAGGCTTGGACATATGGGAATTAATCACCTAGTGTTTTTGCCTCTGCTTGGATTTGACCAGGTTCTCAACCCACTTCATTGACCACTAGGCCAGTATTATCGAAGGCGGAAAGTGCAAAAAGCTATAATGTCTATTGGAGCGTTAAGCGCAAAGCGCAAATAAAGCGTGGGCTTTAATGAAGATAGACACAAATGGAAAACTACAAGTGTAGTCCAAGACTAATATCTATAAGCATGAATACCAAATATACGGACAAAGAAATTGAAGAAAATTTATTATAGTGAAATCAATTGTTTAGTGTCGCCTCTTCAGGATTACGCTCATTGGCAAGGAAAAGTATGCCTTAGAGCCTTGATGACAACACTGAAGCGTCCCGTAAGCGAGGCGAAGCGCTTAACATGTTTTGAGCATCGCTTCAGAACTTAAGCGCGCCTTTGATAACACTGCACTAGGCCACACTCTTGGGTGCATCCTTGTCCAACTAATCATGGAATAGTTATTGGAATACTATTTTCTGCAGGCTTGTCCATTCAGCTTTCTTGAGTTATTTAAGGATGTACTTTCATAAATCCTTTGCATAACTATAATAGTTGAGAATTTATTGGAGGTGTGAACATTGTTTCCCAATATATGTTTAGACTAGTAGTAATAAATATTGATCCTTTACAAAAGTTTGATCCTCCCGCAGTGGTTTCATAACTAGTTTTGGTTACTTATTTTCTTCTAACAACCTAATCAAAATCTTTGAAAAGTAAATTGCGACGGGTAGTCCTAAACATGCGAACTGTACATTATAATCAGAGTATCAAGTGAGTGTGATTATGTTGTTAGTCAGAATACAAGAATGCTTACTAATTATGTCTGATACTTTTAATTCAAAGGATTTTCTTTAATGTCAATCACTTGCTTCCTCTATTTCTAATTTATCAATTCCATTATATTGTTAAACAATGACTAAGATTTTTGTTTGACTAAACTTGTGGATTTAAAAGCTAAATGAGTAGTATCACTTTCAATTTCAAATTTTATCTTAACATTCTTAGTGTCTTACTTTCTTTTTTAGTTTGTTTCAAAAAGAATGCCTCTTTCCAGATTTGGTAACTCTCTAATTCCAATATTCTACATGACTTAAAAGCTAAAAGTAGCTGAGATGAGGAAGTTGAGGTGGATGTATGGACATACTCGGTTGGATAAAATTAGGAATGAAGTTACTCGGGAAAAGGTGGGAGTGGCCCATGTGGAGGATAAGATGCGGGAGGCGAGGTTGAGATGGTTCGGGCATGTTAAGAGGATAAGTATAGAAGCCCCAGTTAGAAGGTGCGAGCGGTTAGTCTCGGTGGGCAGCAATAAGGGTAGAGGTAGGCCTAAGAAGCCTTGTGGAGAGGTTATTAGGCGGGACATGGCGCTGCTGGAGGTGAATGAGGACATGAACCTAGACAGGAGGGTGTGAAGGTCAAAGATTAGAGTAAAAGGTTCATAATCGAGCGTTTCTCTTTGTCTTACTCAGTTCGCTAGCATTAGTGTTAGTATGATATCTTTTATTCATAGATGGCTATTACTACCTAGAGTTTGACTGCATTCTTGGATTCGATCTTATTTCATCTGCTGTTATTCCTATGTTGTAATTACATTTTCTTATTCAGTCGTTCTCTAGCCGAGGGTCTATCGAAAACAACCTCTCTGCCCTTCCAGGGGTAGGGGTGAGGCTACGTGCATCTTACTCTCCCCAGACCCCACTTGTGGGAAACTACTGGGTTTGTTATTGTTGTTGTTGTTTAAATTGTCTGGATCATGCGAATAAGATTTTCACTTGTGTTGTGTAGAACGAATTTCAGTATATCCTTGTTTATCACCTAGTGATTCTTACTTTATACAAACATATCGATAATTTGAACTATATTCTTGTTAATGGTTCTATTTTCCTTACCAGTTGTTTTCTTAATTGTTCTTCAATGCTTTTATGACAACCCTCACCATTTGCCTTGTCGAGCTTGATGCTCCAGTTCATTAAGAATTCGCCTTTATCTTTTCATTAATCTGTGAATATTATCATATACGAGAACCGTTTGCACGTGCAGGTTGGGCAGTTAAGAGAAGTTTCTAACAAAACCAACACTGCGGAACTGAAGTTATTTTTGGAAGTGAACCATGGGCTGGTACCTCCTTAGATATCCTAAAGATTATATTTCCAATTGCTTAGTTTTAGTTCTCGCTGTTGACAGGTATTTTTTGAGTTTGCTATTTCTGACGACTTGCATGGAAAAATATCAGGATCTGCTTCCTATTCCTCTACTTGAAAAAAGTAAAGATGATATACTCCTTTTCTTCAAACTTTATGATCCTGCGAAAGAAGAACTACGGTAAGTGTGTTTTTATTCGAGAATACATGCTACATATTTTCTTGTGGAGGTTTAGCAGCTCAGTTTCTTTCAAATTTGGAATTCCAGTTATATTGGTAGGCTGTTTGTGAAGAGTTCCAGTAAGCCAACTGATATACTTGGAAAGCTGAATGAATTGGCTGGATTTGCTCCCAACCAAGAAATTGAGCTTTTTGAGGTGTGTTAATGCTGCCTTCTTTTTGTTATTGATGCCATGGNTCCTGAAGTTGAAGAACAAGTCCGATACCCGGATGTTTCTTCATTTTTGGAATATGTGAAAAATCGCCAGGTGAATCGCAACTTTCGATTATGGCTCCCGTTCTTGCGACTGTACCTTTCTGTTTTAGTTGGATATATCTTCTTCCATTTATGCTTTGGTTACGGGTGCCCGTGTGTTGAGGAGGGGAATACTAATGTTCAACGCTAATTTTCTCTGGATGCCTGTGTATGGTGCAGCAGGTTCTTTATAGTGTCTCCATTGTGGACATCAATTTTGATTGCTTATATTTGAAAAAATTGATTACAGATTGTCCATTTCAGAGCTCTGGAGAAACCAAAGGAAGTTGATTTCTGTCTGGAGTTGTGAGTATATTTGATGTTTTCATGGCTTGCCGGCAGTAGTACAAAGCACTTGCTTCTAATGATTCATCCATCTTTAATGAATTTCAGAGCAAAAAGCAACACATATGATGAAGTAGTGGACAAAGTAGCTCAGCGTCTTGGTGTGGATGATCCTTCAAAAATTAGGCTGACTCCTCATAACTGCTACTCACAGCAACCAAAGCCCAACCCCATTAAGTATCGGTCTGTCGATCATCTGGTTGACATGCTTATCCACTACAATCAGGTTCGTATACATGGATTGACTTCAACAGGGAAGTGTATAGGTGCTCTTTGTATGCTTTAATTAACATGACAAAGTAGCACAGTATTTTGTTACAATGATACATGTGGCTATGGACTTACTCTGTTCAGATTTTCTTTTCTTGTTCTTTCTGATTTGTTATTTTTATCCCTTTACAGATCTCTGATATTCTGTATTATGAAGTTCTGGACATCCCTCTGCCAGAGTTGCAATGTCTGAAGACACTCAAGGTCGCCTTTCATCATTCCACAAAGGATGAGGTGCGTCTGAGATGACCAAGTTTGTTCTTTCTTCTTTGATTAGTGCTTTCTCTAATTGAGTTTTACATTGCTTTCAGATTGAAATTCTGAACATAAGATTGCCTAAGCAGAGTACTGTGGGTGATGTGCTTAATGAAATCAAATCAAAGGTAAGTACCGGGGTTTTACTATCTTGAATTCTGCATTGAATATATGAAAGGGGGTAGCAGATTCTTTATCTCATCTTTTAGCATATCTTACCTTAACATTGCTGAAAATGTTGTATGTTTGAGATAATTAACATTAATGATAGTATATTTTATATTTATTCTTAAATTATATTTAGCTTATAATTTTTAATCAATTTTACAAGAGCACCTTAGCAAAATGGATCACTTTTAGAAGAGTAATGTTTTAGTTATATTTATTTAATCATTTATACCATGATTTAGTATCCGCTCACCTTAAAGTTCGTCCTATGGTGGTCTTTATTTGAGATGATTAAAAGATAGGTAATTAAAATATATTTTGATTTTTAATTATATTAGACAATTTTCCAATTAGAATAACTGAAATATTAATTTGATAAAGTAGGTAAGTAGGTCAAGAGTATTATTGGAGAATTAATTTTTTTTTCTTACTTAAAAATAATATATGATTTTATGAGAATGCACGGGAGAAAAATCTTATTATTGTTGTTAATTGTAATACAATGAACCCTATTTATAAATACACATAATATATAACCTACTCCTATTACATATGTGACTCGAACTAATTACATATATATTTACAGAATCATTCTAACACTCCCCCTCAAGCTGCTGCATACAAATCATATGTACCGAGCTTGTTACGTATATAACTAATACGAGGACCAGTGAGGCACTTGGTAAAAATATCTGCAAACTGATCATTTGACTTCACAAACTTTGTAGTAATATCTCCTGAGAGTATCTTTTCTCTGATGAAGTGACAATCAATCTCAATATGTTTAGTTCTCTCATGGAACACCAGATTCGATGCAATATGAAGGGCAGCTTGATTATCACACACAAGTTCCATTTGGCTAATCTCACCAAATTTCAACTCTTTGAGCAACTATTTGATCCAAACTAGCTCACATGTTGCTATAGCCATTGCTCGATATTCTGCTTCTGCACTAGACCGAGCAACGACGTTCTATTTCTTCCTCTTCCAAGACACCAAGTTACCTCCTGCTAAAACACAATAGACGTATCAGAAGGTGATCCTGCCCAATCAGCATCTGAGTATCCAACAATCTGGTCATGGCCTCGATCCTCAAGCAATAGTCCTTTGCCTGGAGCTGATTTTATATACCAAAGAATGCGGATAACTGCATCCCAATGACTATCACAGGGAGAATCCATAAACTGACTTACAACACGCTACTATCTGTTTGAACAACGGAAGCTATCCCCGAAGATGTCTGTTTACATGCTTTGTATTGAAGGAACTCAATATAATCCGGTAGAGAAACCATCCAACTATTCATAGTATTGGATTCCATTTTGCTACAACCAATTTCTCAAACTCTTGATTACAACTTGTATGGTTAACCTTTGAATGCCATATCAGAAACACCTTTCCTTTTTTTGGGGAAAACACTGTTCACTCGCCGGAAAATAAAAAAAGGTTGCCGGAATTTGATAAAACTTGAATAGACGGACTTGAAATAACGTCCTGAGAAAGCTGTCCAAAAGGAGCTTCGTCGGAAACTGACCGGAAGGTGGTCCACGCACCGGCCCGTGGACAGATCTCGCCGGAAAATTCTCACTTTGGTCGGCGCGTGGGTGGTGTTTTTCTGGTGGGGTTTTGTAGGGTTTGGTCGCCGGGGATGGAGAACACTGTTGTGGTGTTGGTTTACGCACAACACTGGTAAAAAATAGTTTTGACGCGAACAGCTTCTCAGGTCACCGCAAAATTGCACGGCGACGACTGATTTCTTCTCGAGTGTCGTTGGAAGGACACACCACAATAATTATCTCACCAATGCTCTGATACCATGTGAGAATGCACGGGAGATAAATCTTATTATTGATGTTAATTGTAATACAATGAACCCTATTTATAAGTACACATAATATATAACCTACTCCTATCACATAGGGGACTCGAGCTAAATACATATATATATATATTTACAAAACCATTCTACGTAATAATTTTTATAAACTATACACCGTGTATCCAAATTTTATTATGATTAACCAACAATAATCCAGTGATTTATTTAATGGAACAAGATGACTCCTTAATGTATTCAGGTTATTTTTAAACCGCATTTAGAAAGTACAGTCTTGTGTATCTCCTATTCTTTTCAAAATTTTACGGTGTTCAATTTTTTTTTCCTCTCGATGAGTTGTTCAAATATATATCTATCCCACACAAGACTATTGTCTGCTTTTTTGCTAATTGGGATGATTCCCCTTCTTTCTCAGTTTGATTGGGGGATATTTCTTCTGAACAGTCTACTTGACCTTCTCTCTGAGTGGAATTGGCTCTGGTCAAATTACTTTTGAGAATGAAGATTACAAACTATAATTTAGTCATAAAACTGCAAATTTTTGCATTTATCATTTAGACCACTGGAAAAAATGATAATTTTAGGGGGAGGGAGTGTTCTGATTATCTTGTTTAGCAACCATTGCTTGATCAATGTTCAGTCTATAGAGATGGTCTCTTGTTGGTTATTTGGTCGAGAGGACATCTGTACCTCCTCCTTTTGCAGGAGTTCTACCTGCCTATGGACTTAGTTACCATCTAGAAACGAAAGTGGAAAAGAATCATTCAGAAATTTACTTATAGTATGAGATTAAATCTATCATCTATTTTATGCATGTGAAATAATTACTAACTGTTGCCGCTGAAACAGGTTGACTTGTCTCGTCAAGATGCAGAACTTAGATTACTTGAAGTCTTCTATCACAAGATCTATAAGGTTAGGATTCCGGGACAAGTACAATCCTTCTGTCATTAATTCTACTTTATGCTTAAATTTTAGTTCTGCACATTTAATAGCATAGGTGATCTTTCAAAGAATGTTTAAACTTTAATCTTTAGGTGTGTCTGCGCATCTCACCCTTGCTATTGTTGATGTGCAGATCTTTCCACTCACTGAGAAAATTGAGAATATAAATGACCAGTACTGGACATTGCGGGCAGAGGAGGTGAGTTCTCTTGGTTTTATATGCTTGCTCTTCTCTCTCCCTCATATCCTCGTCTGTTTTTTCTTAAAAAAAAGAAGAAAAAACCTCCTTAAAATGGCGGGAGTCTTGGAAAGTTATGCAGAGAAATTAAGCTTCTCCCTCACTCAACTCCACAAGCCCCCAAACTTCCAATATAGGGAATCTAGGACTCATCCTATAACTCAATTCAGTGCTTTTCCCCATGTCAGCTTTAATTGTTGAATGTGCATTCACAAAAGTAAAGTAGTTAGAAATTAACTTTTTATGTTGTTTTTTTCTCATACACCCACCTTTATTGCAATTGAGAGCTTCTGGGATACTGTTCAGCACTTATAATTGTTCTTTACTTGCTAACCATACCGTTGTTTGTTACTAGATACCAGAAGAAGAGAAAAATCTTGGTCCCCATGATCGTTTAATTCATGTTTACCATTTCACGAAAGAGACTCCACAGAATCAAATGGTATTTTACTTTTCGTCTATGTTTACTGTATCAATACTTCTGAATTCTGCTGCATTAGCAATAGATATTACTAATTGGATTGGTTTTCAACAGCAAGTGCAGAATTTCGGGGAACCTTTCTTTCTGGTTATCCATGAAGGTGAAACTTTAGCTGAGATTAAAGTGCGCATTCAAAAGAAATTGCAGGTTCCAGATGAGGAGTTCTCTAAGGTACATTGCTCAGGCAGCAAAATGTTTTGCAGTCAAGTATACATACTTGACACCCATGCTTTTGTGCTTCTAGCCGTTGCTGTTAACTGTTAAGAGTCTTATGACTGACTGTGTGCTCTTTTTGTGACTAGTGGAAGTTTGCATTTTTGTCATTGGGCCGCCCAGATTACCTTCAGGACTCTGACATTGTATCCAGTCGTTTCCAGGTTAAAGTTCATTTTTTGTTTCCTTCCCCCCAGAAATTGATCGCAAGTTTTTACGGGTTCAATTAGGTTTCTGTTTTCATTGTTTCTTCTTCCTGCCCAAACCGAAAATGCTTAAATATTCCCGTATGCAGAGAAGAGATGTTTATGGTGCTTGGGAACAGTATCTTGGGTTGGAGCATGCAGATAATACACCTAAGAGAGCTTACTCAGTTAGCCAGGTATACTTTCTATTACTTAAAGCTGACTTGTGATCTCTAATAACTGGAAAGCACTTCTATGTCAGCAGTATAAATGGCACCTAAGTAACTGATTAGGAGACAGACAATAAAAAACCAAAAAATAAATAAATAAAAAAACAACAAACTCATGTGCCTTAGATTTAGCCTTCGCTAAAGAGAGGTAAATCTTTAACTCTAGAAAAATGTGTTCGTTGTTGTCTATTGTATGGGAACTTCGTTGTTTATATCTCATAAAAATATTTCTGCAGATGTTGAGTCTAACAGGCACCTATGCTTGGCAAATGTCAAAATCAGTTCATTCAGAAACTCCCCATCCCAACATTTTTTTTTTGATGAGTAACTCCCCATCCCAACCTTTTCATCCTAATTACATGAATAAGAGTAAATAGTGCAAAAAGATGAATGACAATGTGTGACATGCTTCCATCTTTGATGGAAAATGAGGAACCAAAAGAAAACCAGTAGTTATTCACTTATAATGCAAAATCCAGAAGTTAAAAAAAAACCAAAATGTTGAATTGCAACATAATCTGCTACTCGTTTTTTTTTTTCTTTTCCTTTTTAACATTTTAACAAGTTACTCTTTTTTCTAGAATGAAACGAGTTTCTTTTCCCCTGGATTTTGTGGAGATTTAGGTATAGAGATTAAATACATATTTGTACTAGACCTAGATTGCGGAATATTTGAATACTAGTAGGAATATGAAAGGTGAATAGTTTATGAAACAATATGGTGACATTAAAATGGAAGTGGTTATGTATGTCTATTCAAGCTTTTGGGAGAGGAATTTTGTCATATAGAGCTTGGGTTTTAGTGATCAGGACCTATTTTAGGTTTACTATGAGATAAGAATTCAGTTGACAGCAGGGGCAGATCTATGGTTAGGGATGACACCCCACCCGGTCGCTCGGATAAAATCTTATATATATGTATATTCCTAAAAAAATTCTACATACACAACGCGTGGCACCCCTAATCACAAAATGACTGTTAGTGCCACAGTTGAAGTGCTAAAATCCCATATGCAAGACTCAAGATCGACTCTTTGGATTATGATGGGTCCTAGTTGTTCCTTTGTTACCTTTCCTTTCTTTTCTTTATGCTCCTTTTCTTAATTTCTTTTCTTTTCTTCATCTTTGTTATTGACTTTTTTTGTACAATGCCATTTTTATTGCTTATTTAAATTGTGCTTCCTTTGTTTTTTTCTCGATCTTCAATTTTTATTTAGCTCTAATTTTAATCATTTTCTCTTTTTACCCATCAGATGTTATTTTATTAATTTCAGAAAATATTTAGAGTGATGCATCAAAGATATAATATTAACCATCTACATGTAGATTGAAGGGGCGTATCCCATATTCATTTATGCATAAAAGATCTTTCAAATTGAACTGAATTAATTCAAAATTGATCGAAACCAACTGAATTAATCTAAAGTGGATCAAGTTGACTGAATGTACATCCTAATTCAATCTCCTTCACTAGTGGTCGATTTGCATTAATATAGTGGCACCCGTAGCCATCAAATCCGGAATCCGCCTCTGCTTGACAGCCTTCATCAAGTATTAGACAAGGATTCAGTGTGTATGTAATCTCCGAAAAGCAAAAAAGTATTCATGCTTAATCTTCAATTATAATTGCAGAATCGACACACCTTTGAAAAGCCTGTCAAGATATACAACTGAAAGGTCTTGTAATTCACTGCCCGTGCAATGGAGCTAGCAAATGACCCTTCTATATCATTATAGAAGGGACACATAAAAGTTTTGACAGCTGTGGAATGACGATGAGGAAGGCAGAGAAGTGGCATCAAGTTCATTCAGTTACATAAAGGGGACTTGCTTCTGTTTTCTCAAGGTGATTTCTTCAGTTACATAAAGGGGACTTGCTTCTGTTTTCTCAAGGCTATTATTCTTCCTTTGATTTGGTTGGGGAAGCGAATGTTGTAATCGCTTCTTTCTTTGTGGTTAGGATATGGCTTTAGTTATCGTCGTCAATCTTCAGAGTTATTGCTCTATTGAGGGCTGGGCCTCTTCCCCCCTCCCCCCTTTTGTTTCAAATCTTTTTTCTTTTCACGTCTTTTGCATTATTTCATCTGCATAGAAGATTTTGAAGGGAATGTATAGTTGATAGTCCGGCACATTATAGATTTGTGATATCTGTTAATCCTTTTCTCCCGTCCCCTCTTCCAGCTGTATGTAATATCGTGTCAATGGGCAATGGGTTGTAAAATTTTGTCTTTTTATAGTAGTAATATATAGTTAAGTATATGTTTCTTGGTTTCCTTTGTTTTGATCGTCTCTGTTTCGTCCTCTTTGAAAGCACGAGTGCCTCTTTGTCCGTAAGTTGCATAAAGACGTTTGTATGCTGCAGCTGACTTAGTGAATGATGCTCTTTTCTAACATGTATTTCTTTT